GCACCGGCTCGTCCCCCCAGCCCATCCCGCTCCCGGCTGAGGGGACATGGCCCGTGGATTTCACATGTGGCCAGAGGCTTCTGGTCGAGCCTGGACTGAACACCTAATTAGAAGTGAGCGGGGTTACTTGTGGTTTCCTCTGCATCCCAACACCGGTGCCTTCAGGGCTTCTCGAGTTCGATCTCCCCAGCCAGAGGTCCCGCGGCACATGCCAAACCAGCAAAGCCGGCTCACAAGCAGAGGTCCGGGTGAGGTCAGATTCTCAGGCAGCTTTTTTGGGGGGGCGGGCAGTCAATCCTGGCTGCTAAACTTGGAGGAGGGAGCTGGAAATCTCTCCCATCTCCTGCTGGGTGGCGAGGTAAGCCAGTCCGCAGCAGGGCTGCCTCAGCTGTGGGAGAGCTCGCTCGCCGTCAGCTATTCGCCTCCCTGCTCCCGCTCTGCTTTTGCGAGTTGTGCCGAGGGTATCACTCGCCTGCTTGGGGCTGCCGAGCCTTTAAGGAAATGTTTTTGTTTATGCAGCGCTGCCAGATTTCCTATGCTTCTTGGCACGGGGTCACAGCTTTCATGCCTCCTTGTCTGTCTTTATTAACACCAATTTCTTTTTATCACTGCGCAGCGCCGTGGAGTTTCTCAGAGGGTTTTATGTTCCAGCCAGACTGTGTGTAAATTCTCAGCAATGCTACCAACAATGCCAGAAACGGACACTTTTTCAAGCAGATGCTGTTTCTGGTTAAGGAATCCATCAACGCGAGCCAGGCACATGGTTTCTAAGGACAGTTGTTTAATCCTGCCCCCAGATCTGGGACTTTTAAGCTGGTTTTAGATATGTTTTCTTTTCTGTCTAGTAACCATTGCCCCTACCCCCTCTTTAAGCCAAAAAAAAAAAAGGGTGAAGTGAACCTGGGGAAGGGGTGCCAGAAGTGGGGAACATGGACAAGGTCCCTGCTTGTTGCCCTCTGCACCCTCCCCTGCAGCTCACGGGGCAGCGGCTCAAATCCTGCCGTTCCCCCGGGGCCGGTCCTGCCCTGGCCGGCTCAGGACAGAGCCCGGTGACTGACACGTCACCCCGCAGGTAACATCTCCTCTTTTTCTGCTTCCCCCAGCGAGCAGGGGTTGACACCAGAGCCCCTGGATGCTCCTCTCCCCGCACACGGCGGGAGCAGACCCACAGCGAGCACGACGCGGGCCACGACGTTTGTGCGGGTAAGAGTAATTTCTGTATCTCAAATGCTAGGAATTTCCTGTGAAGGAGAGGGATCAGTGAAAGGAAAGTAGGCTTAACTAAATACTCCGCATGCATAATTGCAGATAAACACAGGGTGCAACATATACTGCTCAACAAAAAGCATGCAAGGGACTTCTGATGATGATGAGCGATCCGGAGCAACGCAGCTCAGAAACAGCTTTGGGGATTTTTTTTTTTTTTTTCAAATGAAATTTTTTTGGGTCCTTTCTCCCCATAGTAGATATCTTTGCATATTTCTTAAAGGGCAAAGGAAAAAAAAAAAAAGCGCACAATGAGTCATTAAACTTTCAGATGAGTCATCTGGCTTTCAGTAAAGCATGTGTAAAAATATTACTAATTTACAAACAATATCCAGCGTAACACAATGGGTCCAAAAAAGATGAATCTAAAAATGAGGCAATACCATAAAAGGCACAAGGTCAGGTCAAATTTGGCCAAGAGATCAACCAATACAAATGTTCCCATGGCTGGATTTCTTTCCTTTTTTTTAATTTTTAAGCCCTCAGAGAATACTTTTTTATACAAATAAATATTGCCTATGCAGTGCTAGCAACGCAAACAGGCGAATGCCTTAGGGAGCAGAGAGGCAGCAGAAGTAAACACGAATGAGTGTATTTTTCTGTTAAAACTGCAATGCAAAACCTAAACTAAGAGGATAAATATTGAAAAGTAAACTCCATTTTAAAATGTTCAGTTGAAACCCTCTCAAGCACTGAAGCACAGCTGGACCTGGACCTGCATAAGGCAAAATACGACGCGTGTCTGTCCAGCTGATAGATCAGAATAAAAACTGGTTTTAATAACAGGTAAGGGCAATTTGGGCTTGATTCTACTTTTACTGTGCCTCCCCTCATGAAAGAACCAATTTCTGCAGAAACAATATTGTCTCTTCATTTCTGATTTGTTTGCTCGTTTTGCACACCTGCCATTTCACTGCATCTCTCTCACGTAATTCTTTGTAAACATCTTTAGAGTTAGGAAAATGAAAAACTTAGAAAAATTTTAAAAGTAATTGAGGGATAGAATATTAGAGAGGCCTCTAGCAGAATTTCATCATTTCTGCCCTGCTTTGTATTAGAAGGTTGAAACTGCCTGCTTGTCTTGGTAAAAGTGGATGAAACTCTGACCAGACCCAGCTGTGGGGGTGAGCACACGGGACTGGAGGTGCCCGTGGGTCCCCCAATCCCAAATCCTCTTTAACTCAGGATTCCCTGGGCTGGGATCCAGCCAGGAAGAAGGGGCAGGAGCAACAACTCATACGAGGAAGCACACCAGGCAGATCTCCCCTGGGGACAGAAGACTCATTTTTGCTCTGCAGCACCGCAAAAGATAGTGACAGACCGTAAACATTTGTTTAAAAAACAGTATTATTTTTTTTTTTTTAAAGATTGGGATTTGCAGTTTTGGAGTTTCCTCCCCTGCAATTCATATTCAAGGATGACCCAAGTGCCCATTAACAATCAAACCACTGTGCAGCAACCCGGGAGCCTCAGCAATTATGAAGATAATGGTGCCCTCCTCCTCCTCTGCCTCCTCTCCTGAGGAATGGGGGAAGGGCCGGGAGCATGGGGAAAAGAAAATCAGCAAATAGAATGATAATGTCACTCCCTCTCACCGACAGCAACGGAAAGCTGCAATTAGACTTCTCTGATCAAAATGCTAGATAAAATTCCATAGAATTTATTAAAGTAGATCTAAAGCATGAGAAATACTGGGCTCACCTTTACTGAGAAGTCACCTGCCTGTAAAAGGCAGCGCACGTGCAAGGTGTTTGTGTGCCCAGACAGGGTAGGGAGCCCCCTTTACCCTTTGAGGGTGTTTGTTTGCAGCCCCCCAGTGCCAGGTAAACCCTGGGGTGGGGTGTGAGACCATGTGCATCCACGTCTGCCCACGGTATTTTGGCAGCTCTGTCGCTGCAGGGTCTGAGCACCCGCGGGAACTGGTGGATTTTCCTTGTGCCACCCAACGCCGGCAGAGCAGCACCACCGCCCCTGCTCCAGGCTCTGTCATACGAGCAGAGGTGCTGGGAGGTCTCGCTCCACACAAGGCCCAGCCTGGTCCTCAGGACTGAACACGTGTGTGCCATGCCCTCAGCGTGCTCCCAGGGGGTACCTCCCTCTTTTACCTTCATCTGCAAGGCACCCCACTCGCAGGCAGGGACCCCAGCATGCTGCAGCCCGAAGCACACTAAGCCAGGATCATCGGAAGCACTGTGGAAGTGCTCTCCTGATCCAGACTGAAGCTCTGATCCAGGGGCACCTCCTGCCTTGTCCAAGGGCTGGGAGACACCTGCGATGGGTGAGCGAAGCGATGCCCAGGAGCAGCCTGCTTTTCTATCTGTCCTACACCCAAACTTCCAGCAACTATCAGTTATACAATGTGTATTACATGAGAAGAGGGAGTAAAATTTTAGTCAAAACTACTGATATCCTCCCTCTTTCTTTCATCACTTCCTCTTAGTGTTCTCTGCAGCAAGGTGCTATTCACTCCTAATACTACCGGTTCACTCCTGCGTTACTGCTGCTGTGTGCTGGTGTCATTCCATGAATTTACAGCATGGCAGGAAAAAATCAGCCCCTGAATTAAGGCAGAACAGCTTCAAAAGCCTTTGGCTGTCTCTTGCAAAGTGCTGCAGCCAGCTAGGACCAAGTTTCCTCTGCAGAGGGAAGATAAAGAACAATAAGACCAACCATCAGATGCCAAAATGTGGTGACTTAAAGCACAGGCACTTGGAAGAGATTCCACCAGACGCTTTTAGGGGCTCAGATTTTTTTTTTTTTCTGAATGTGAAAGTAGCTGCATCGCCACATCACAGCAATCGTACATGCTTACCCTCTGAAGGGCACTCGCTGCAGCCTACTGTGTTACCTTGCATGATGATGAACTTGGGCAGCCATCAATACTCACTTAGGAACTGGCACCCGAATTATTGTCCCATCCACTTCTGGGTTCAGGTTCATGCCGCTCTCCCTTATAGCCTTCGTAGCTGCAGCTGTGCTCTGTAAAACAGATCAAAAGGTAAAGGGAATTAGGAAATAATCATTCCCATATGCCAGAACTCTGTCAATAGTTGGCAATCCATCTCCACGGAACATGGAAACATTTACTTCTGTTACCAGTAAGATCAGGAAGTTACATTGGTGCCGAGAGCTTTGATCAAACCGAATGGGAAACCATGGCTGTGCTCGGTATCAGGGTAGGGGGGCACGAAGGGGGGGAGAGGGGAAGGGAAGCAACAACAAAAGAAAACTGTTTTGCTTCTTTGAAACTATTTGAATGGTTTGAGGCAATGCAGAGCGAAACCGCAATAAATTCCCAAGGCATAGCCTGACTGTGGCGAAGGAGATGAAAGATTCTGAGCATTTAAAAATTCCAGTTGAATGTTTCCCACTAGAAATCACACAGTGCCAATTTAGAAACGTTAACTAACTTAACCGCTTCAGCACTACAACCTAACCACATTACATCAGGGCAGTAGCAGCTGGCCGAGAAATAGTGCCTGTGCCCAGCTCTATGTTTATTTTACAGCTTATTACTTAGGATTAACTTCTCAAAACTCCACCACCGCTGGCTGACGCTCTGCTCTGCTTAAGAGGTGGGGTGCACAGGTTTGCCTGGTAACTGCAGAGTGATTAAAATGCTTCCTGCCCCCTCCCAGGGCGCTGGTGTACCTCTACAGAGTGTCAGGCTTTACGGTTAAATCCGCGTTTTGCCAGGAGCTCCCACAGCTCTGCCAGGTTGCTTCGTTCTTGACACTGACAACAGCAAGACCGAGTGAGTCTGTATCCTTGTGGCACTCACACGGCGTTTCCTACAAGGCACGTTGCTATTTCTGATGCTCTTTCCCATCATTAACTTCAGCTCCAGGCTGCTGCAGACGTTATTTATGAAGTTCAGCTTTTGTCAACTGAGGCACGAACTAAAGCTCTGTGCATTTGTTTAGGTCTCCGACACGTGACATCGCTGAACGAAACAAATGCTCTGCCAGTGTTTTGTCAAGACATAACTGCTGTCCTCTACAAGACAACAAGGGCAGAGAAAATCTAACTAAGATGATCTCAGCATGTTAGGAATGTAAACGTGTTATTCTAGGGACGGTGCTTGCTCTGTAGGAAGGAAATGCTCAGTAAAAGCTGTGTTGTTTAACATACATATTGCAGGAGATAGAGGAAGGGGAAAATATTGCAGTATTACCCCCATCCTCTTGCAGCCCATGACACAAATAGCTGTGCTTAAAAAACATAAGTCTTGTTTGGTTTTATAACTCTCAGGCAAGCAGAATTTGGCCCCGCATGTCCTTTTTCTATGATTATTTTCTTTGCCAGACTCCTCAGGCATTTTTATTTGCTTTTCAGTGCCAAGGAGTACTGACTTTCTGCTGTAAGTAGTGACATTAAGAACATGTGCCTGTAATGGTTTTAAGAGTTCAGTCTATCCATGGCACAGTTATGGCACAAAACAACTCCATTGAGAGAAACTGTTCTAATTCTAGCTCAAATGAAAAATGGTCCTTTGGCTTCGAAAGCAAATGTAGGCAATGCTGTATCGTGTGGTATTTAATTCCTCACAGGCCCATTTCTCGGGCTGAGCTCCCGCTTGGACAGGGGCTCAGTCATGGGGTGAAACTCCCCAGCCCTCTCAGCTCCGGCACTCCGAGGGACCTCGGTGCACTCGCTGCTGAGCGGCCTTCATTCTTCAAAGCCATTACACATGCTGGATACACTTTAAGAAACACTTAGGCATCAAGTGCCTTACACTGACCTCCTCTGAGACTTTGCTGACTTAATTAATTGGGGAAAGCCTTTGCAAAATAAATAGAGATAAGCTTTGGCAAGCCTCCAGCCCCGGAGAGGGATGACTAGCTGACCTTGTGCTGGTTACTGCTCCTACCTGCACGCCTGCCCCGCTCTATCTGCGCCAGCCCGCTGCAGGGGACCACTAGTGCTTGATCCTGAGGTGGGATGCAGATTTGCTGCCTCATTGAGGGGCAAGTCTAACTAAAACTCCTGCAGAAAATGAAGGGAATTCGGCTCTCCCAGAGGACAGGTCAAAGCACCTAATTCAGGTTCTGACCTGCAGGTGCTGCCAAGGCAGGACCTCACTAACCTCAGCAGTGCCTGAGCCAGGCCCTGGGACAGCACTTAGCACAGGCCCAGCTTAGTCCTAGCCAGGAGGCTTTTCAGCAGCTCTTAAACCACATCAGCAGCTTCTTCCGTGAGCTCTCGGGGGGGTGTCACCAGCCCCCCTAATAAGTAAGCAAGTTTTAGAGGAGTTTGATGGTGTCCCCAGCACAAATACAGACTATTCTAACTACACATGTGGCTCTGTGCCTGGCCACGTCTTCATAAGGAACTGAAATGACAGAAATGGAGCAGATGCAGCACCGCTTCCATGTGTGTAACTCAGGTGAACTGAAGGAGAGCCGTGTGTGTGCTCAAGAGTACCAGGTGCTGTAAAAGCACGGGAAATGGGGAGCCCTGGCAGGGCACAGTCAATCCGGGCATCCAGTCTGTGACACACTCAGTGCTGCTTTTCAACCACGCTCTTGCAGATCCAGCTGATGGGAAACCAGTCCCCAGAGCAAACGCTTCACACTGTGGCATTTATTGGCTACGACCCTGAGAGCAGCCGCAGCCTGAGGGGCAGCACGTCACTCCCGTCTGACCCTGTCCTGCTGCAGGCAGGATGCTCCGTGTGACAAGCAGGGCTGGAGGCATCGCTCACCCCGTGCAGTTGGCAGCAAAATACAGCTTCTGTTTTGTATCAGCCGCCAAGTGACACGCAGCCCAGCGGAGCTCTCAGCCCTGCCAGCTTTGACTCATTTTGTCTAAATGTTCCTTTGCTCAGCATCAACCTGTTTGCTCCCATGGTAATTATCTCCCCTCCCAATGCCTCTGGTAACGTGTCCTTACCTCTGGAAAATCGGTCATGTTCACTATAATGAGCTGAGGTGACTTCTGCGAGATCTGCCCCAGCTGGTTTAGCGGAAATTTCCCATCTTTTGTCATCACCATTATGTGATCAAGGGCCCCTCAAAAGAACCAAACACAGGGGAGTTTCAGTATGATACAGCAGTTCACAGGGATGCTGAAGAAAAACGCAGTGTCCCACTTCCCTTCTGATATGCAAAATACAGATGTTACAAAAGAAAAAAACCCACATGTTTATTCAGACTTCAGGTGCTGTTTGTGTTCATGCATCCCCTGTGGTATTTGCAAGGTAAATATTTCAATGCTACTCTGAGGCACAAAAACATGAAAACAAAACTGTTGTTTGTTTTTGTTACTAGAATAGGAAAACTAAGCCAGATTGTTAAGAATTAAAAGGAAAACGTTATTTTTTGATTCTTAGAACTTAAAGAAAAGCAAAATGTTGTTATAAAAATCAAGACAACTATTGTCTTTAACTGAGCAGTGTTCTCTTAAACCCCTCTTTTCTTTTTTTTTTCCCCCAAGTCCCAAGAGGAAGTGTTGTACACTGCCTAATTTAAAGTATTCAGTTTCTCCCTGAGCTACTCTTAATCTGCTCTCTAGTTCCTGCTGAAAAATGTTAACAGGCCAAAAGGCACATGGGACAAGAGGTACTTTATCAGTGCAATTAAAAAAAAATACCTATGGTTAAAATAAATAGTTAAGAGACTGAGCTATGCTTTCCAACTCCATTAAAGACTGAAGTGCCCCTGCCAGAGCTGGGGTGGTGAATGATACAAATTTGGTCGTTGTTTAACATTAAATTTTATCCCTGAAACTCAATACTACTTACAAATACGTATTCTCAGAGTGTTACAGTAACCGTAGCTTAGTCAAATACATTCACATTTCTTCCTAAAACACAAAATTCACTAAGTGAACAAGGCTTGTACAGGTCACTACCCACAAAGACGCACAGCAAAAAAAGTTTGTACTTGCCAGACACCAGCCTGATGGCAATTTCCAAAAGGCTAATTTAATGGCAATTGGATTTTTCCTGCCCTACTGCACCATTAGCTGACAACCTGCTTCATCACATCTGCAAACAGTTCAGTTAGACACTTTTGACATCTCCCACTTACAAAAGCTATTTCCAGGAAGTTATTAACAAAAATGGATTCTTCCTGGTCAAGCTCAGGGTGCAGGAAGCCTTTAGCTGGGGACACCAAGGTTGTAGTAACTGGGTGCCCAGTGAATAAATAAAAAGAAAACAAATTTTGAAAAAAATCAGAGTTCTCTGATTGGTATCCTTACTTACAGGCAACAGAGCATCATACAAGAAAGTTACCAACCTGGTGAGGTTCTAACACTGAGATTCCTGCTGAAATCTTCTTTCAGAGCTTCCACCACTGCTTGCATGTCTTCTTTGGTTTCTTCCAAATCGATAATATCCTCGACTAGGGCAGCACTGATATTCACTCTGGCTTGACTCTGCCCTTTACCTTTAGCTGCGGATTACACATAAAATTAACTTCTATTTCTGACAACTTAGTTGTTGCATTAGAAAGCAGAAAGAAGCTACTAAAACCCCTGTTAGATTCAGAATTGAGTCTAAGATAAACGAAAGCAACTGCATTTTTTAATGAGTAAACAGCCCAGCACTTGAGCACATAAAAAATATATTTGCAGGTCACACTATGGGCACTGACTCCAGCCTGGACTGTGACCATCGCTCCCTCCTGCCCCAGCCCAGCAGCAGCTCCATGGGAAGGGTTAAGGTTTCCTGTACACTGCAGCACTGTTCGGCAAACCAGCTCCTCCAGTACTGGTACAAGAGACAAAAGGGATAAGAAAAGAAATTCTGGCAACACAGAGGGTGCCACCTTTACCTTTCTTGGTAGCTAGCTGTCTGGTCAGCAGCAACTGGTGGGCACACTGCCCGCAGGCACCGAGCAGCAGGGCTGGGCAGCCTGCAGGAGCCCGCGGCAGCGCCCGCATCACTGCGAAGGAAGAACAATACAGCAGGGCAGGCAGGTGACGGGAACATCTTAGTGCCACAGCCATCATTTACAGCTCCTCCGCAACTCGCCTGGAAAAGAGAAATGGGAAATGGTCCGCTCAGTGAGCTAGAAAGAAACGGATTCAGGTCTTTGTTGTGCCTGTCAGGGCTTGGTGACAGTTCGGCAAGGTGGGTCCGGGCGTACCGCAGCGACTGCCTGGTGAATGCAGCCAAAGGGGCTGGGTGGCAGCCAGGCCAGCCTGTACCCACATTATCTCTGCACGGGCCTGAGAAGCAAAAGCCACAAGCAGGAACAGCTCGTCAAAGTATCTGGTATTTGCACGTCAGTGGAGTAGAAACTTTAATTCTGTCACGTGAGGGTTGAAGCCCCAAACTCCCCCGAATTTACAAGATTGATTTCAGCCCGGGCCGCTCGCGGCTCAGAGGCGTTATCGCAGCTGCGGCTCTGCTGTGCTTGGAGCTGACGGGATCCCCGGGCCCCTCCGGCCCCGGGAAGCTGCCGCCGCCGGCCACCGAAGGGACAGGCCTCTGCCGCTCCGAGGACGGTCCCGGGGGCACCAACCCCCGTGCTCGGGCCCGCTGGGCTGCCGGCAGCTCTGCTTCTTTTGGGACAGGTAAACCCAGGGGGACACAGCGAGCAGGAACTGGCTGATCCGAGGCTGCTCCTCCACATCTCATTCTCACTTTATTTTAAGAAAAAAGAACTGTCGAGGTTCAGAGCAGGAC